TTCAGAGATCTTGGATAACAGTAGCAATAGACTTTGAAACCATGTTCTGCTTTGCTGTGTTTACATGGAAGGAAACTGGGGCTAATTTTCTTTTTTCCAGATGAGGTAGTGTCATAAATACAAATGCTTTTTTAAAAAGGTGCTGATTTGTATATAATTTACATTTCCACGGTGAGACATCAAGTAAAATCCAGTTATAACCTCAATCATAATTCACTGTATTTTAACTCTAAAAATATCAGGTCTACAATTAAGATTGCTACAGGTAAACTAAGTTAATGAAATGTGTGTGTTCCTGAGTATTACCACTTTAAGAGAAAATTTGGTACCAGAGATGGCAATGACATGGAAATCATAGGTATATGTTCCACAAAAACGGGGGAGAGAGATGGAGGGACTGGGAGAGCAAGAGGGAGGGAAGGAGAGAGACAAGGAAAGAGAGAGCTCTAGAGTTCTAGAGGAGTGGCTTCAAGAGCTGGGAATGTTTAGCCTTCAGAAGTCTGAGTGGAGACATAATGTCCAAGTATAAATATATGAGGGGAAGTCATAGGGAGGAGAGAGCAAGCTTGTTTTCTGTTGCCCTGGAGACTAGGACAAGGAACAATGGCTTCAAACTACAGGAAAGGAGATTCCACCTGAACATTAGGAAGAACTTTCTGACTGTGAGAGCTGTTCAGCAGTGGAACTCTCTGCGCTGGAGTGTAGTGGAGGCTCCTTCTTTGGAGGCTTTAAAGCAGAGGCTGGATGGCCATCTGTCAGGGGTGCTTTGAATGGGATTTTCCTGCATCTTGGCAGGGGGTTGGACTAGATGGCACATGAGGTCTCTTCCAACTCTATGATTCTATGATTTTCCAGAAAGATTTTATTCAAAACGAACAATATGTACACATGAAATGAAACAAACAGGTCCAATAAGCCTTGCAGGAATAGAGAAGAACATTCAAAGATCACACCCCAACAAAGCTTCTTCCCAAATAAGTCCAAGAATACTCATTGACCACTTTCACTAGCCCCCATTTTGCTTATACCTACTAGCCGTCCCCTGCCACACATTGCTGTGGTCCAGGCTGTGTATATGTGTTTTGTGTGTATATGTGTTTTGTTTTATTGTCTATGTTTGATTTTAATTGCTTTTATTGTTGTTATTATTGCTTGTATTGTTGTATTTGGGCTCGGCCTCATGTAAGCCGTACCAAGTCCCATGGGAAGATGACTGGGGTATAAATAAAGTTTATTATTATTATTATTATTATTATTATTATTATTATTATTATTAATTTGTGTATATGTGTGTTTGCATAGATGTGTGTGTGTGCGTATGTGTGGTTTTGCGCTAATGGTGGGGGTTTTTTTTGCTTTTTAAGTCTCTTCTGCTGTGTTTTTCGGTGTTTTTATGAGTGATGGTCACTTGTTGATCTGATACGTGTATTGTGTCCAAATTTGGTGTCAATACGTCCAGTGGCTTTTGAGTTATGCAAATCCCACAAATGAACATTACATTTTTATTTATATAGATTTAGGTTTGGTGGTCAAACCTACAGGTCCATATTTTAACAACAACAAAAAAGAGATACTAAAGAGATAAAGTTCCCAAGTCAGCATGCAGCTGCTAAATGCCTAGCTGTAATTCATTTAATCTGAAATTTTCCACACAGGACTGAGTCTATTTGCACACCAGAAAGGCCACAATGTGTGGGCTAAACATTAGGCTTCTCTCTTCCCCACTTTTGTTGTTGTTGTTGTGAGTCTTCAAGTTATTCAAGATTTATGGGTTTTCTTGGCAAGATTTGTTCAGAAGTGGTTTGCCTTTGCTTTCCATTGAGGCCAAGTGTGATCTGACCAAAGCTACCTCATGAGTTTCCATGGCCATGGAGATATCTGAATCCTAATCTCAAAAGTTCAGTCCTTGTACTGCCACAACAGTGGGAAAGACTATACCAGGATTTGGCTGTAGAGAAAAAAATGCTCTTGCTTGTTGATATACAAATATCTGTAAATGGCCATACAACCGGAGCTAGGAAATGTTACTTTTGGGCACTATTAAGTCCTAGAATCCTCCAGCCCAGATTCTGGGCATAGCCACAAAATGATTGCTATGTTAAGGTGGGCAAATTGATATAAAAATAAACACTACCTTGATCCAGCAAGTTTCCACTTCTGTAAAGGATTGTATAATTTGTTTCATTCTAGTCTTGTGAATCCTCCTAAATGAAAATACATGATCTGAATGACTGATGATCAAGGCTGAATCCAGCATCGCTGTCTGATTTAAATTGAGCCATTGTCACTTTGCAACCTCTTTTTAATAGGATATGACATAATATAGATGTCACTTCCTTCATTTAAATCAGGAGTGGGAATCACATGGCTGATGCTGGAATCTGTATCTGCCACCATAATGACTCCGGGAATAGGGTAAAAGCATTCAGGCACAACTCACTTGGCAAAGACTGACAAAGGTGATTTTTATATTTTAAAAGACATGTTAATGCCAACCCAACCGCCTTTTCCTTCTTGTCCTATCTTGTAAGGTGTAAGTTTTAGCTGCATTGGTAGGATGTGAAGGAGTGCTAGTTGAGTACAGACTTTCAGAGTGATGTCGCAGTTGCATATCTGCAGTAAACAAACCTTGATTTGGGAAACAATCTTCAGTACTAGAATATTCTACTTGTACTTCCCTACAATAGACAACGTAAACAGCAGTTTCCTACATTTATTGAGCATGTGTGAATAAGAAGACAGAAAAAAGGGGAAAGCAGGTAACCTGAATGTTTCACTCAAGGTATGTAACAGCTGCCAAGCTTTGTGTTTCCAGAATTAGAAACCTGTCGTTGGTTCTTTGTCCCAGACATGCTTCACTACGTATAACCTTACACCTACGTTAATTACAGTGATTCATTCTATTGACAATCTCTTTTATAGGATGGACTCATACACTACATTTCACAAGGTCACCAGAGGAGGGAATGTACAATTTATGGCCCTTCCACACAGCCCTATATCCCAGAATATCAAGGAAGAAAATCCCACAATATCTGCTTTGAACTGGGTTATCTGAGGTCCCTTCCACACAGTCCTATATCCCAGAATATCAAGGCAGGAAATCCCACATTATCTGAGTGTGGACTCAGATAACCCAGTTCAAAGCAGATATTGTGGGATTTTCTGCCTTGTCTTTGCCATTACTTATGTGTAAACCGCTTTAAGTCCCCCTCGGGGTGTACAAAGCGGTATAGAAATACAACAAATAAATAAATAAATATTCTGGGATATAGGACTGTGTTGAAGCCCCCCCCCCCCCCAAAAAAAAAAATAGGAGGAGGTACTTAGGGAAAGAGAGGATGTATACTGCCCACCTCATATTCCAGCAATGCACATGCTCCCAGGTGGAACTAAATCCCAGATATTGATTGCAGGAAAGGAAGGAGATATTTGGGGACAAAGATTATTTATATACACTATGCATCCCAGAATCTCCCAGTTCCCAGGCTCTCAGATGGAACAGAATGCCAGTTATTGGTTACAGCCAGCAATGGAACTGGGTTGTCTGAGTCCACACTCAGATAATGTGTGATTTTCTGCCTTGATATTCTGAGATATAGGGCTGTGTGAAAGGACCCTGAGTCTATACTGCCATATATTCCAAGGAAAGGGCCCTGAGAGCACTGGGGGATTCTGAAATATGTAGTCCGTAGCACCTCTTCCTTCTTCTGTACCAGTGCTTCTCAACCTGGGGGTCAGGACCCCTGGGGGGGGGGTCATGAAGGGGAGTTTCAGAAGGGTCATCAAAGGCCCTCAGAAAACACATATTTCTGACAGTCTTAGGAACCCTTTTGGCAGAGAAGGCTGAAGATCTCTCTGCCTGTCCTTCTCTTCCTTTTTTGGTGTTGGTGAACTACAACTCCCAGAATTCAAAAACAGTCCCCCCCCCCCCAGTCCCACCAGTACTCAATGTTGTCCATGAAGGTAGTGTGCCAAGTCTGGTGCAGTTCCATTGTGAGCTGGGTTCAGAGTGCTCTTTGATTAAGTGAACTATAACTCTCAGCAACTACAACTCCCAATGTCAATGTCTACTTCCCCCAAACTCCACCAGGGTTCACATTTGGGTATATTGAATATTTGTGCCAAATTTGGTCCAGATCCATCCTTCTTTGAGTCCACAGTGCTTTCTGGATGTAGGTGGACTGCAACTCCAAAACTCAAGGTCAATGCCCACCAAACTCTTCCAGTGTTTTCTGTTGGTTGTGAGAATTCAGCGCGCCAAAATTGGATCAATTCCATTGTTGATGGAGTTCAGAATGCTCTTCGATTGTAGATGAACTATAAATCCCAGCAACTACAACTCCCAAATGACAACTCCCCCCCCCCCCAAAAAAAAGCCCCACCAGTATTCAAATTTGAGCGTATTGGGTTCTTATGCCAAATGTGGTCCATGCTGCATATCAGATATTTACATCACGATTCATAACACTAGCAAAATTACAGTTATGAAGTTGCAACAAAAGTAATGTTATGGTTAGGGGTCACCACAACATGAGGAACTGTATGAAGGGGTTGCAGCATTAGGAAGCTTGAGGAACACTGATCTATACCTTTCTGTCCCTGGCTGTATTCAATATTTAGAAGACTGTTCCAGCTGAGCGTTTAGGCATTGGGGGATTCTAGGATGTACAGTGCACGTCCATTTTTCCCCAGCTACCTGTTTCTGTCCCTGACTGTAATCCATACCTGGAACCCAGTTTCATCAAAGAGCACAGACACTGGTGGATTCTAGGGGATGTCTCCCAAGTCTTCTCCTTCCTCAGCTCCCTGCCCTGCTCCTGGCTGCAATCAGTACCTGAACTCCGTTCCACCGGGGCGCATTGGGGATTCTGGGATATATAGTCCACCTCCTCCCTTTCCCCAGCTCCCTGCTTCCGCACCTGGCTGCAACACACCTGAGTGCGAGGAAAGGGCTTCCTTTGGTGGCGGGGGCGGGTCCCTGGGCGGAGACACTGGGAAGGAACTGGTCAGGGACTCAGCCCGGGAAAGAGGCACACCAGGATTGGAAGAAGGCAGAGGCAGGCAGGCGGACTCTCCTGGGACCCGGGTAGGAAAACCAAACTTATGGCTTAAGTTTCCACGCCTGTCCCGTTTTGCTAGGGAGGTGTGTTTGCTTCCCTCTTTGGAAAAGCTGCTCCTCCCCAGAGATCATGCCCTAATAATGGATCAGGCATTCGCTGCTCTGGCTTTGTCAGTTTCCTGTGCGTCTACACTTCAGGATGAATGCAGTTTGACACCGCTTTAACTGCCCTGCCTCAGTGCTGTGGAGTCATGGAAAGGTGAGACACCAGAAGATAATGCTCTTGTAAAACTCTCTTGATTTCATAGCATTGAGCCAGGGCAGTTAAAACGCATTCGTGCTACAGTGTAGATGCCCCCTCTTAAAGTGATAATCCCACTTTCTCCCTTCTTCCCCTCCCTTTCTTTCTCTCCCCTTCCTCTTTGGCAGTACTTTTGGGAATTGGTGGGAGTTGGAAGAGACCTCATGGGCCATCCAGTCCAACCCCCGCCAAGAAGCAGGAATATTGCATTCAAAGCATCCCTGACAGGTGGTCATCCAGCCTCTGTTTAAAAGCTTCCAAAGAGGGATCCTCCACCACACTCTGGGGCAGAGAGTTCCACTGCTGAATGGCTCTCACAGTCAGGAAGTTCTTCCTCATGTTCAGATGGAATCTCCTTTCTTGTAGTTTGAAGCCATTGTTGGGGCAGCAGAAAACAAGCTTGCTCCCTCCTCCTTGTGACTTCCTCTCACATATTTATACACGGCTATCATATCTCCTCTCAGCCTTCTTCGGGATAACATGCCCAGCTCCTTAAGCCGCTCCTCATAGGGCTTGTTCTCCAGATCCTTGATCATTTTAGTCACCCTCCTCTGGACACATTCCAGCTTGTCAATATCTCTCTTGAATTGTGGTGCCCAGAATTGGACACAATATTCCAGGTGTGGTCTAACCAAGGTGGAACAGAGGGGTAGCATTACTTCCCTAGATCTAGACACTATGCTCCTATTGATGCAGGCCAAAATCCCATTGGCTTTTGGGAATACATACCCAAAGGGAATCAGAGATAAAGTTAGGTTGCTACTTGGAAGACTACCAAGACCTTTTGCCAATCCTAACATCAGTAATTCCAAACTTTTTTGCCAAACTTTTGCCAATCCTAACATCAGTAATTCCAATAAACCATAAGCCTAGATCCCATGTAGTTCCAACTAGAATAGACTCACTTATGTAAGTATTAAATTAACAGGTTTCCATTGCAAGTTGAGGCTAATAATTGGATGTAGGCTTTTGCCAACCCCAAGATTTGAAGATAGAGTAGGCATGATATCCTTTTCCAGCTGATGTTGAAACTGTGACTGCTGGGTAGAAGATGCAGGCCAACAACACCTGGAGAGCTGCATAATCCCCACCCATGCAGCAAACATATATGTTATCTCTGCCATTCAGCAACTCTGGGCCATTAGATTTTCCATTGGGCCTGAAGTCAAGGTGTTGGCATTAGTATATGCTGTTGTGTGCCTTCAAATCATTTCTTACTTGTAACAACTCTGCAACAGTGTGTTCTTAGCAGAAGAGGCCTTCTCCAGCACCAATCTTTCTTGTTGTTACTGTTTTGTTGTTGTTGTTGTTGTTGTTGTTGTTGTTGTTGTTGTGTGCCTTCAAGTCCTTTCTGCCTTTGATGGCCCTAAGTTAAATGTATCACAGTGTTTTCTTGGCAAGATTGATTCAGAAAAGATTTGCTACTGTATTCCCTGAGGCTGAGAGTGTGTGATATGTTCATTCTTGCCCAGTAGGTTTTATGGCATTAGTACGTGTATATACATCTATATGGAGATGATACGACTTTGATGGCTGAAAGTGCAGAAGAAGTTTGCCATGGTTTGAATCCTGAATGAATGCAGGGTCACCCAGTGGGATTCATGGCCAAACATACATTTGAACCATGGTCTCCAGACTTGTAGTTCAATGCTCAAACCACTATACCATGCTAGCTCCTGTTATTAACTCAACTGGGATTTATAATGACAGTGTGACTTGTTCAAGATCATTCAGTAGGTTTCATGGCCAAGTACAGATCTGAACCTTGGTCTCCACAGTTGCAGTCTTGTGCTCAAACCACTACATCATGCTAGTTATTCTTACAAACCTATTTGAAGTTAGTAATGAGTTGAATAGGCTTTCTTTGTAGTGCCTCAGATGAAAAAATATGGTTCATAGCACTCTTATCCACGATGCTGCATCATCAGTGGTGGCACCCAAGGTAACAAACAAACACTTTATTAGTGAAAGGGGAATAAACAAAGGTTTGTTTTGTTGTTCACACTGATGGTTTGTGAGAGCCAATACAATGTGGTTTGTGGGTTGGACAAGGACTCTGGAGACCAAGGTTCAAGGAAAGCAAGGACAAAAATACCTCCTGATAGATTTGTTTTAGGATTGCAATGAGTCACAAATGACTTGAAGTTACACAGCAAAAAACCACTTGCTTACATCTCTTTATCAAGCATTTGTATCTACCTATAACATTTTTTAAAATGTGCTTTTAAAGATACTGTTAGCCACCCTAAACTCCAATAAGAAAGTTGCTAAATAAAATAAGTGTTTCATGAAACAGTGAAACTTGGACATTTTGTGGAATGAGCTGATCTTGTTTTTGGATGGGAGCAGTGGAGAAGTTGTGATCTTGGAAAATCCGGAGACAACTGCTTTTGACCTGAAAGTGTCTCCATTGTTCACTCTGCATCTCATTGAGGGAATTTGAATATGTTCACACTTGATAGTATTACTATTTATATTTTATAGTAGTGATCTCATTGTACAGGTATGAACACTCATACCGGCACAATGAGATCAGTGAGTGAACATCATCTTTGCATATCAGAAATGCTGTTCTTCTGCCCCATGTTAAAGCCTGAAATGCTCTGCATAGTTGCCTGGCTGAAAGCCTCCTAGAGCAAGGCCCTGAAAGACTAGATCTTCTCTGATCTTGGAAGTTAAGCAGGGTCAGCCCTGGTCATTATTTGGATAGGAGACCTTCAATAAATTCCAGGTGTCATAAACTATATTTCAGAAGAAGGAACTGTCAGAACCACCTCAGTATTCTTTGCCACATTATAGTTTGCACTTGAAAGAAGCTAATGAACAGGGTGAGGACTCAGCATATTGGTCAACTCCTTAAAAGTTCAAACTAAAACCCAAAGGTGGATTTCCACCCCACTAATATAGAACCTCTAGGTCCCACTGGCTGGGTGGAATCTGACTCGAAATATATCTTTTGAAGATGCATATGAAGTTTTTTGGTAGTCAATACATAGGCAGTATTGTGATTTTGTGTACGATGTATGTTAGCCAGCACATCTGTTGTAGGTGAAATGATAATTTTCAGTAACTGAAAGCACTGCATCACACTGTAAAGAAAGCACATACTGGAAGCTAAGATTGAGGTCTCACATAATAGCGAGACCTTGATAGTATTTATCTATTTATTTATTTACAGTATTTATATTCTGACCTTCTCATCCCAAAGGGGACTCGGGGTGGATCATAGAACATACATGCCATTTTATACACAAACAAGACTGACAGTTATACATGGATAGAGGTATAATCAGCTTTCCCCATCTCTGGCAACTTGGAGGCTTTTTGTGTTCGGTTCTGGCCACGGGTGGTGCTGCCGCTCCATCTCCCTACCAAAGAGCTTTGTTCATAACTTCCTCCTTTTTGATCAAATTTCCAGCATTCCTTATACCTCCCTGCATTTTAAGCAGTACCTATTTATCAACTCACATTTGCTTTCAAACTACTTGGTAGGAGAAAGCTGGGCTAAAGGCCAGGAGCTCACCCTGGCCAAGCTTTGAAGTGGCAGCCTTTGGGCTGACAAAATTTATTGCAGTTTGGTGGTTTAGCCTGCTGTGCTAAAGCCCAGCCCTGCTGTGCTGAAACCTGGGATTTGGTTCTGGATATCAAAGTCCATGAAGGATCCATTCCATTATGTACAGTGGTGTTCCTTATATAAAATGGCAAAATCAAGGTTTGCTTTTTGAAATTTGTGTTTGACTATTTTCAAACCATGGATGGTTGAATGCATGGATGCAGAATTTGTGGATACAGAGGGCCAACTATATTTCCCGGTGTGAATATGAAGTGCATTGAGTGGGACCTGTTTCTGAACATACTTAGGTATGAATTGCAGAACTGTGATCTTGAAAGTTGCTTACTTTTCTGCCATGAATTCATTAGGCAACTTCATACAACCCACCATTTTTTGTTCCAAATATAGAACAGGATCATGATAACTGGTCTACCTGGCAAATCTATTGTTAGAAACTATTAGGGGAAAGGTCCAAATTCCTTTAGTATTAATAGTAGCCTAATAATAATAATATAAATATTTGCTGTTTCTGAGTGCACACATGTGCATTCATTGTAACCACGAGTCTTGATTGCTTTTGGGAATGTGGTTGGACAAGTGTTCTAGATATTTATTATATGACATCATTACAGCCGTGTGTCATGATCCCTTTCAAGTGCCATTTTATGTATTTTGTTTGTTGTAAATGAGGATACTTTGTTTTAAAAAACTTGAAAGGAAACCTTGATCTCACGGTTGAATTATCCTCTGAAATTTATTATTGTAATAAAAAGAGTAACTGATAAAGCTGATATTTCCCTAGAATATTTTTCTAGGTGAAAACCATACATTTAGGTTGTCTAAGGAAACTGAAGCCTCACTGGCTTTGCAAATAAATGCTCAGTATCATTCTTTTGCAAATAGGTTTCTATGACCTCGCCTTGGGCATTTGCTGAGATCAAAGTCCACCGGCTAGAAGTAGTAGGATAAGGTACATTTCCTAAGGCACTCCTACATTTGATCCATGACATATTGCTGGATTGTTGCTCTTCTTGAAGAAATTGCAAGGTTACTATTTTTCTGTTGCTTTCTTGTCAGCACTGAGCTCTTAAAAGGTTATTATCTATAAGGGAGCACAGGCATGTAGCCGGGGGGAGGGGGGGTGGCTTGGGGGGGCTTCAGCCCCCCCGAAAT